GATCTGTCAAAACACCAAACCCACTCTTCAGTCCCTCTTCACCACTGCTTTTAAGGATCCTTACGTTTTCTATCGACTTCTAAAAATGGAAAATCCTACGTTGGCAACTGCAGCCCTTGTGAATGTGCTCCAATTACCCTTTTCTGACCATAATCACAAAAATATGTGGAGCTTAAATTTAGATACAAAGCCTGAACCCTAAAACCCGGCTCCCACGCTCCTGCACCGCACACCAACCCGCTCCTCTGGCACACTGCCTTTGTTCCTCTCCCACACACATCACTGTGATGCCCCAATTTCCATCGCCCACTGCTCTATCACTCCTAAAAGCACCGAATGAACACCACGAGGGAGCTGACGGAGGTGAGCAGGCATGAACACATCTTACCTGAGACGTGTTGAAGCCGGTCCTCAGAGCGTACGCCACGCATCCGTTGTCAACAGCTGGAATGGGAGCAGGATTGAAGACCATGAGCTTCTTACTGCCTTCTGTCTACTGTCTTTGGGGGCTTATCATAGAGAAATTCTGCTCAAAGCTTTGCGTTCCTCTCACTTGCAAGTGAATAAAGTCAACTTGAGGAGGAACTAACAGCAGTCTCACTATTGTGGTGCATGAGGTTGAGGAGAGCAACTCAATAACCGCCTCCAAAGGTGGCACTGAGCCCCATGAAATTAATCCACAAGCATTTCATGCCCCCTCACAGAGGGAATTTGCATGGGTACGTACGTTTCAGTCCCGTGCTGGCTTTCTGGGGTGGGATGTGCTGCACCACCTTCGTTCCACCAAATATGATGTGCAGCCGGGCATCCGTCTGCATGTCCAAAACGTGCTCTGGGCTGAGGTCCTCCACAGGCTCCTGCAGGACAATGTTCAGCTCTCAGGTTCACTGCTACTGACAAATAAATATGGAGCACTCCTCTCTTTCCATATCCCACGTGAGGTGCCCTCAGCTTCACTCCAGCTAAAAGCAGCCCGAGGAGAACCCAGGAATTCACGTTCTCTGGATTCGGAGCCAGACATTCCAGTGTGGGAGATGCAGTTCCCCGTTAGCACAGTGAGTTCAGTGAGGGAGGCTCTGAGATCACTACTTCATCATCTCTGCATCTCCCCCTCGGTGCACCAGGAAGGCTTTTGAAGTGCTTTACACTTAGTCCTCCCATCTCTACCCAACCAGAAGAATTCAGACAGGGGAATGCGTGGGAGAACAACGCCATGCTCTTGTAGCTCTGCCTCCAAGGCTGGAGAAGCAGCCAGACCAAGCAAGCATCCAGTTCTCATTTACCAGAGATCATCCATTGCTGACGGGGAGATGATAACAAGCAGGCCATGCTGCTCACGCCAACATTCACACAAAGAGACTGACATATGCAACTGACTGCAACGCCTTTGATATTTCTACTTTCCAACCAGGACAAAACAGAAATATTTCACACAGACCTTCATCTGCGGCACAGACTCTCCTGTCAGCATCGCTTCGTCCACAATGCACCTTCCACGTAGCAGCAGCACATCACATGGCACGAGGTTTTCATGAGGAGATCGGCCTGCCATTAAGACAATAAAACTCAGAAGCTGAGAAGCAGAAGCGATGCGTGGCTGTCTGGAAGGGAGCAGCTCTCCCTCCGTTTAGCTGAGATACAGAAGGCTCCTAATGGTCTGAATCACCCATGGGCTGCCAACTCTACTCCTTGACTCCATGTCTCAGTGGTGCTGAGAACCCTGAAGGTTATTTGGCCTCTGGTGAGACTGGAAAAGTTCCCAATTCAAATCATTTTGTTCCCACTGACACTTCAAAGATGTGAAACGCACCATGGGGAAAGAACCTTCAAAAGGGAAGCACAGCTGAGACAGAGCCCTGCCCTTCCTCCCCCCTTTCTTCCCAGGGAGGTACTGTCAGCAGGAAGGAAACTCTTCATCTTCCCCATCCTAAGCGGAGGAAGAACACGATTTATCTAGAGATCTACCTTCCTTCAAGACAACAAGAAGAGATCAAATCTTAGAACTCCTCAGCTGTGGCACCAATGAGCCAAAGCCCTTAGAAGTGCCAAACCAGGATCGATTTTTGGTATTTTTACACTGTGTGACTTCGCTGAATGCCACTTCATGCGTCAGGAGGAGTGCAGTTTTAAAACAGCTCTGGATCACAGGAAGCATTACCAATGGAGACGATATCCCCTGGGATGATCTCGTCGCTGGAAATGGGTCTCCACTTCCGATTTCGGTAGACCTGTAGAAAAATAATTTAAAAATATGAAGATAAAAAAGCGTTTTGACAAGTTCTGCTTGCGTTGGTGTCATCTGAAAAAGACAAGGATGAGAAAAAGGAACAGCCTTTAACAGCCATGTCCAAACCTCCAGCACTGCCCAGGAGCAATTCCTCAGGCTCTGTGCCTGTGATTATTTCCCCTCTGATTGGGGTTACCTGGATCATGTAGGGCTTGTTGCCCATTTTTCGGATCTCTGACATGTTCCTCATTTGCTGCTGGACCAGGGAAGCTTCAAACGCCACCAACATGGAGAGGGTGAAGACGCTGTAGTACCAATACTCATCCAGGCACCACAGACCCACACAGAACACCTGCAGGGAGCACACAGCACACAAATCGCTCTCGTCTCGCTCAGAAAGCAAAAGCCTTCCATTTCCAGGCATCTTTCTCACCTAACAGTATGCATTTTGTTGCATTAAGCTGAGAAAAACCACAGCAGATCGCGGGAACTCGTTAGGCAGAAAGGGGATCGCTCCCACAGCAGTGAAATAAATCATTGTCACGGGGTGAGAACAGCTTTAGATTTAAGAAAAGTGATTCTGCCACCCAAACCTGCAAGGAATTCTCTTTTTGTGGCAGAACAAAGTATTTGCAGTGCCTTCTGTCTGTCTGCTTTACCTGGAAGACGAAGAATGGCGCTGTAGCTCTTTCTTTAAAAAGCTCCAAGAATTCCGGCACCACCATCTCAGCCCTGGGGAAACAAAAAATTAATACTAATTAAATCCTCATTAACCTGAAAGTTCTGTGATCTCAACAAAAGCCCGAGCCAGAGCCACCCGCAGCCCCTGTGTCACAACACCCAGAGACCACCCACCTCTTTCTTTTTATTATTTCCTGCACTTAATTACTTTCCATCTCCTGTTCTCTGCCCTTAAGATAAACCTGACAGCTGCCAAGCAAGGGCAAGGAGAAAACATTTGAAAACACAGCTTGGTGACAGACGCTTTCGGATCACTTCCTATCCTCTCATTCTGAAAAAGAAAGATCTGCGCATGGAAAACTTACTTATTTGTGCCATATTTCTTCTCAGCTGCTCGGATATCTTTGTCCTCCTGATAGCCCCGGGCGTTCTGGTAATAACACAGCGGGTGCTCCACGGGGAAAGCGACAGGAAGAAACTGCTTCTTGCCATTTATCTCATAGGAGTATTTGATTTTCTGAAACTCAAAGGAGAGAGCCTCCTGCCCGTCCTCATCCTGCAGAAAGAGAACAAAAACAACTACTGAACACGCACCAGAAAGAACAGAAACCCCAACTCCTCACGTCCCTTCACTGCTGTGGGATTCTGCCTGCTGTACAGACAGGAAACACAGTGTGATCTTTGATATCCCCATAGCGACCGATTACAGCTGACACTTCCCAAACCAGTTAAGCCAGGAGCAAAGGAACAGCAGCTCTGCATCTCTGACTCACCTGGTCTCTGTGGAGCGGCACCAGTTCTACAGATCCGTTATTGGGGGTTGGCACAACTTTAGCCAATGTGGCTTTCTTAGGGCTGGGTTCCTGAAACACAACACAAACATGTCACAAAGCAAATCACAGAGCACCAGTTTTGGTG